CCAGAACACTTGATCATGCTAATGCGAAACCTATACTTGGATCAAGAGGCAGTCATCAGAACAGAGTAAGGAAACACTGCATGGTTCAAAATTGGGAAGTGCGTATGCCAGGAATGTGTCCTATTTCCATACCTTTTCAACCTGTGTGCAGAACAGATTATCTGGGAGGCTGGGCGCTATGAGGTGAAATGTGGGGTTAGGATTGGTCAACAATCTGCATTATGCAGATGACACTACCCTGCTTGCTGAAACTGAGGAGGACCTGAAGCGCTTGCTGCAGAGGGTCAAGGACTGCAGCCAGTCCTTGGAGAGGGACATCATGCTTGGAAGGGTGGAAGGATAGCACAGGAGAGGAAGGCACTCTATGAGGTGGATTGATTCAGTGATTGGGGTAATCGGGATGGGTGTATCGTAAATAGTATGATTGGCACAAGACAGAGCAGAGTTTAGGGCTGTTGTACATAGGGTTGCTATGAGTCACAAGTGACTCGACGGCACCCAACAACAACAACAACATACATTTGCCTATTTAGACACTTAGTATAGTAAGTAGGATCATATAGTATCCAAGCTTTTGTGAAGGACTTACTTCACTCAGTATTATAGCATTTTCAAGGTTCAAACATGTAGTAGCATGTGTCAAAACTTCATTTATCTTTGACTGAGTTAAGAAGATCTCTAATTTTCAAAGAAAGAATCTTGAACATGGCTTTTGTTTCATCAGGGAAATATCATGATGTGGCTGAGAGCACTCATTGGACTCCATTTTTGAATGCAAGCATTCATTACATCCGAGAGAAGTATCCCCTTCCTTGGGAGAAGGTAGGTGTAACTCTCTAACTGTAAAATAATTTTATTCTAAACATGACCAGTATTTTTTGTACCCTATCCCCATACTCTGTAAGGACCTATTAAGCAATGTGCCTTGCCAAACAAAATTCCTGGGACATCATAGGTCATTGGTTAACCCTTCAACAGTTTAGAAAGGACAAAAGCTATATGATTTTACTAATATAAAATACATAGAATAGGCAAGCTAATGATTGAAATTAGAATTTTGTAGTGTTTGTTAGGGGCAGAAAATAGAAGGAATTATTGTTTAGTAATATTGAGGGTATAATTGGAGAGGGACAATTTGTCAATTTGAGTGGTTTTAATGAATTTTACATAGGAGAATTGTTAAACTGACAAATGTGCATGTATCTGTGTGTATATAAATATCTGAGGATTTTGCCCCATGATAATTTTTCTCTAGTAGACTTCTGAGGCACAATAAACCATTTTAAAAGAGTAAAAGTCCTAGCTGGTTTTTGGTAGCTGTAGTTTTTGGTATCTACAACATACCAGCCTCTGATTTTGTTGTTGTTGTCATGTGCTGTGGAGTTGACTGTGACTCTAAGCAACCTAAGAACAATGAAGCTGACCCCTGGTCTATACAGGGTCATCCTCACCATTGTTACAGTCACCGTGTCAAGCCATGTTGTTGGGGATCTTCCTCTTTTACATTGACTCTCTACCTTTCCAAATATGATGTGCTTCCTCAGGGATTGGTCCCTCCTAACAATAAGCTCAAAATAGGTGAGACAAAGTTGAACCATCCTTGCCTCCAAGAAGCAACCTCAATTGTAATAATGAGAATTTATCTTTATTATAAATTTTTAAGGGATTGTTGTTAAAAAAGAGCCCAAACACACATTACTTAAATTTGACTCTTTGGCAGGACACAGAGAAATTAGTGGCTTTTTTGTTTGGAATTACCTCACACATGGTGGCAGATATAAGCTGGCATAGCTTGGGTATTGAACAAGGATTCCTCAGGACAATGGGAGCTGTGAGTACATTTTTTTGTTTTAATTCTCTTTTATTCTTCTTTACTTCATATTATTTGAATGAAGGTTTATAAATCAATTAGTTTTTCATGCAATCATTAATATTTTGTTTTATAAAATGCATTACCACTGGTTAATGTAATTAATGAACTACAAAGTCTAATCAATCCCCCCATATTGCAGAGTTTCTTTATGGTTAATTACTTTGTACAAGTGGTAGGGATTGTGACACCCATAGGTTCAAAAACTGATCTTTCTAAAGGAAAGGGAAACTTTAGGCTATTCAGGATGCTGTATGGGAAATGAGCCTTCTTGCCCAAAGTGATTTTTGTTAGATTTCTGTCTTTTCCTATTCGTTTCTCTTATTCTTCCTTGCTACTTTGGCACATTCATCCAGCCCTCAGTGCAAAAGGGATAATTGGAATTTTCTGATCTAGTTGCCAACAATATTTGAGAAATGTTATTTTTATTCAAAGTAGTTAAACCACTTGTGTGTTATAATAAGGAAATTATTTGCTAGTTGGTTGTTGTTATTACTGTATGCCATTGAATTCGATTCTATCTATAGCTGACCCTCCAGTGGGTTTTCAGAGGTAGTAAACCCCATGGGAGGAGATTTCTCATCTTCCTACAGAGCATCTGGTGGATTAGAATTGTGTTACTTTGGGATGGCAGTGCAGCCCTTATCACTACCAGAGCTACTTGAAAATTTACTCCTGAGCTTTTGAGTGCTGTTTTTCTTTTTAAACTAAGAAAATGCCCAGTCCCAAACTGAAAATTGTGATCTCCGGATAACTTAGATCTTGGAAGCCTTTTCTAGTCTTCATTGGTATTAGTTTTGTTCTAGTAGAAATTTAAAATTGGGCTCAGTAGAGAATTTGTACATATATGATGAAGCATACTTGTCTGCAATAATTTTATTTCTTCCCAGATGTATTTAGAACAAAAGCAGCAGAGATGACTGTCAAGTCCAACCTTCTATCTCCACTTGTAGGAACTGCCACTATCAACAGCATTCACAATACTAAAATAATTCCTATGAGTCAAGCCATGTCCGCCCATGCTTCTATACCTCTTTATTGAGTCCAAAGTCCTTGCTATGACCACACAAACTTTATAGATCCGTGTACATGGTTGTGGGGTTTATTGTTTTTAAGTGCCATTGAGACGAGTATGACTCACAGCAACCCTATGAACAACAGATCTCAACTTTGTCCTATGGGGTTTATTGTTAGTTGCTATTGAGCAGAGTATTATTCATAATGATCGTGTGAACAACAGATGTGAACCCTGACCTATACCTATGAACAATAGAGGAAATGAGGTTTATTAGGAATCTGCAATTCAGGTTAACAGCAAGATACAATCCTTTAGTCCAAAGAGATCCATTAATCTCTAAGTCCAAAGAGCAGTTAACAGTTAACAGCAACATATAACTCTTGATGCAGGAAGGATGCAGGCTGCATGCTCTGCTTCTTCCTCCTCCCTGGTGGTGTGATTCCCACTTTATACCACTGAATCTGCTCATTTTAATGTGGTGACTAGCCAATCTCCTTGTGGATAGACTAGCACACCCTATTTGCATAAGGAAGAGATGGTTCACAGAGTTGTTGATAATGTATGTGGGCCAATATGTTCGCAGGGCAGAGTTGAAGGAGCTAAATCAGATTAAAGACTGGGATTCGGTCTAGGGAAGCCAAATTTTTAGTAACAGACACACTATATGGCATTGGACATTAAGTACACAACCCAGCCGCCAATATAATTATATTTTAAAACTAAAATTTGCATAAAAATTGAGTCAATTCATTGAATTAGTTTATAACCTCCTTATAACTCATTCAATTTTGGCAGTAAGAATATTGAGTACATTTTGTGTTCTATACCAGGTGATTTTCTTTCTTTCTTAGATTGATTTTCACAACTCCTATCCTGAGGCTCATTCAACTGGTGATTTTGGTACTGTTAATTTACATCTATAAAATTTTCTTCTGTGATATTTATATTTCACTTCTGATTAAGTCATGTCTGTGTTTTTACCACATGTGCCATTAGCCTTTACTATTTGACTTTTGTTTTAATATTGCAGTTTGTTTAGAATACAAGTATTTATAATTTATCTTAGAGATAGATCTCTGAAAAGTTACGTGTATGTGTCTTTTTTAAAAAAAATAACATTTATGATTGACTGGAATAATAATTTTGGGAACACTTCACCTTTATATTGAATGAAAATTCTTTAGCTATTGTCTTTTACTTAATTAGCTTTAAATTGATAAACTGCATCATTCTTTTTATATAAATTATTTTTTTCTCCTTGCTAAATTTTGATTTGGCAAAAGTTTACAAAGCATATTGCATTTCAATCAATCATTCATGCATGCTCCATAACATTAATTACAATTTCCTCAATGCCTGATCAGCCCTTCTTTCCATAGTTCATTACCTGTAAATACACAAACTGCATAGATGATGAGTGATATTTATTTGAAAAAGTCATTATTATGTTTTTTCTTTACATAGAAATTTTGTTTTGTGGAGGTTCCTTTAAATTCAGATATTTTACTATGTATGATTTTTAAAGTTCATTGTTTTTTTTTTTAAGTTCATTGTTTTCTTAAAGAAAGACATGCCTGTGCCTAAGATAATGAATGGAAACATGTAACTATGTGAAGAACTAGTAAACTGGATTGTGAGAATTTGTATTGGAAGAAAAGCATGTTATGTCTTGCCACTAATTTGCTAAATGTAAATATTTTTTCATTCCACAGGAGGAGATGTGTTGAGCCAGTTTGAGTTTAATTTTAATTACCTCACAAAGCGCTGGTAAGAGAAATAATTATCATGTATATCTGGCAGTTTCCAAGAGAGAACTTTATTTAAAAACTTAACCCTTATTTTGTTTTACCTATGTTATATCAAGATTTCTTTTATATCAGTATTAGATATATTGTATTACTGTTATTATTTGGTACTGTGGAGTCTACTTTGAATCATAGTGACTCTGTGCACAGCAAGTGAAACCTTATGTGGTCCTACCTCAGCCTCACAATCTTTGCCCTGCTTAATACCATTGTTGTGGTTAATCCCTCTCATTGTGGATCTCCATCTCTTTCACTGACCCTCCACTTTTCTAAAATTCAAAATCATCTCTCTTTCTGTTGAATTGTGCCATTTATTTATTTGTTATTAATTTCAATGAAAATTTACAGAAACTTTGGATATCCATTCATTCATTGTTGCACTTTTCTCCCTCCCAACCCTTACCCCAGTACACTACCTTCCTGGAAAAGTAAAAGAAAAATTCTTTCATCATTTTACCTTCCCTCCCCCCAGGTCCACTCCACTATGCTGCCTTCGCTCTGGACTTCCGTCATGACAAAAATACCTAATCACACATCCCTTTTAAACAATTATCTCCCTCATTTATTTCAATGCAGTATACATTATTGAACCCATCTTTCTCAGTCTCCCCACAACCCCGAGGTCAGTCTTGTTTTACAACAGTGGCACCATGCAGTATTTATCCTTTTGTGACTGAGATATTTCACTCAGTATAATGTCCTCCAGGGTCACCCATTTTGAATAATATTGCATGAGTTCTTTGTTTTTCAATGCAATGTAGTATTCCATTGTGTGAATATACCAGAGCTTCTCTATCCATTCGTTTGTTGATGGGCAGTTAGTTTGTTTCCAACTCTTTGCTGTTGTGAACAAAGCTGCGATAAACATGGGTGTGCAGAATTGTGCCTTTTATCACTACGTGGTGACCCTGTTTATCTCTAGTAGCAATTGTTGCCTTAAAATCTACTTTATTAAACACAGTTGCTGTTAACAATAAATAAACTGAGGGCACTGGCAAAAAAATGAGACCTCAGGAATAATGGAATATCAAATGACATGTTTCAACAAACATGCTGCCACTGACATGCTCATTTGTCTATGCCAAGAAATTTGGAAGACAACAATCTGGCCAACTGACTGGAAGAGATCCATACTTGTTCCCATTCTCAAAAAAAGTGATCCAACAGAATGTGGATTATTAAACAATATCATTAATATCATATGTATCTACATGGAACTGCCAAAAATTCAAGTTGCATTTAGTATAGGCTGTGGCACAGGATATATCACTGCTGATGTCAGATGGGTCTTGGCTGAAAGCAGAGAATACCAAATGGATGTTGATTTGTGTTTTATTTAATAAGCAAAGGTATTTGACTAGTCATAGCAAATTATGGTTAACATTGAGGAGAAGAATGAGAATTCTCAAACACATAATTATGCTCATGCAAAACCTATAGTTAGAGTAAGGAGCTGTCTGAACAGAACAAGGGAACACTCTATGGTTTAGATAAGGAAAATTTTTCATAAATGTTGTATGCATTCTCCATTCCTAGTCATTCTATATGCTAAGTAAATAATTTGAGAAGTTGGAATGTAGGAAGAAAAATGTGGCATCAGGTTTGGAGGAAGATTCACCAATGATATATGTTACGAAATGATGCACCTTGCTTACTGAAAGTGAAAAGGACCTAGAACACTCTTCAGAAAATCAATCTTTGGTATGGATTACATCTCAGTATCAAGAAAACAAAAATCCTCACCGTTGGACCTCAGCACTTAACAGCATCATGACTGATGGAGAAAAAATGGACATTATCAATGATTTAATCTCACTTGGTTCCATAATCAATACCCATGGTACCAGGAGTCAAGAAATCAAAAGGCATGTTCATGGAAAAATCTGCTGTCAAGGACCTCTCCAAAATGCTAAAGAGCAATTATATAAGACTGGAAGAGGCCGTGGCACTAAAGATATTATTGCCAATGTCAGATAGATCTTGGCAGAAAGCAAAGAGTGCCAGAGGAGTGTCTATCTGTGTTTCATTGACTATGCCAAGGCATCTGACTGTGTGCATCACAACAAATTTTGGCTAACCTTGAATAAAATGGTAATTCCAGAACATTTGATTGTACTTAGGTGAAACCTGTGCTTGGACCAGGAAGGAGTTCTCAGAACAGAGTAGGGAAACACTGCATGATTCAAAATCAGGAGAGGAGTGCATCAGGATACATCCTGTTTCCATACCTTTTCAGTTTATATGCAGAACAGATCATCTGGGTGGATGGGCTTTATGTAGCATCAGAATTGGAGGAAGACTCATCAATAGCCTACATTGACACAACTTTGCTTGTTGAAAGTGAGGAGAACCTGAAGTGCTTACTGCAGAAGGTCAAGGACAGTAGTCTTCAATATAGACTGAAGCTCAACATCAAGAAGACAAAGATTCTTACTACTGGTACAATTGGGAGCACCCTGATAAATGGAGAGGAGATTGAGGTTTTTAATTATAGCTTGCTTGGCTTCACAACCAACACTCTTGGCACCAGCAGTCAGAAAATCAAAAGGTGAATTGCATGTGGAAAATCTGCTGTCAAGAACTTCTCCAGAGTATTGAAAAGCAATGATGTCAGTCTAGAGACTAAAATATGCCTAATCCAGCCCATAGTCTTTGTAATTACTTGCTATACATCAGAGAGCTGGACAATAACTATGAAAGACAGAAGAAGAATCGATGCCTTCTATTTGTGGTGCTGGAGAAGAGTCTTCAACAGACCGTGGGCTTTCAAGAAAACAAATAGGTCTGTCTTGGAGAGGGTGAAACCAAGTTTCTCCTTGGAAGCTAGGATTGTGAAACTGTCTCATACTTTGCTTTGGTTTTTTTAAAAATTATTATTCTTAATTTTAATGAAAATTTACAGAGACTCTGGATTTCCATTCATTCATTGTTGCACTTTTCTCCCTGTCTCCCATCACCCAGTTTGCTATTCTCTTAGAAAAGTAAAAGAAAAATTCTTTCATTGTTATACAATCCCTCCCTCCAAGTCCAATCCACTATGTAGCCTTCATTTTGGACTCCTGTCATGACAATAATACCTAATCATATATCCCTTTTAAATAGTTCTCCTTCATCTGTTTCAATGCAGTATACATCATTTATCCCATCTTTCTCAGTCTCTCCTCAATCCTGATGTCAGTCCCGTTTTACAACAGTGGCACTTATGCAGTAATTGTCCTCTTGTGACTGAGATGTTTCACTCAGCATAATGTCCTCCAGGGTCACCCAATTTGTATAATATTTCACGAGTTCCTCGATTTTCCAATTCAGTGTAGTATTCCATTGTGTGAATATACCAGAGCTTCTCTATCCATTTGTTTGTTGATGGGCGCATAGGTTGTGAGCAATAGTAAAGAGCTGGAAACAATCTAAGTGCCATTCAACAAACGAATGGATAGAGAAGCTCTGTCTCACATACTTTGGACATGTAGGCAGGAAGGACCGGGCCTTGGAGAAGGACAGCATGCTTGGAAGGGTGGAGGGACAGTGGAAAATAGAAAGACTGTGGATAAGAAGGATTGACTCAATTACTGGGGTAATGAGCTGCTATGCATAGGGTCGTTATGGGTCCAGGCGACTCAGCAACACACAACAAAAACAACAACAGGATGTGCCTAATCCAAATGCATAATCTATTTTCAATTACTTGCTATGCATCTGAAAGTTGGACAGTGAATAAGGACAACAGAAGAAGAATCAATGCCTTTGAATTGTGGTGTTGAAAAATGATATTGAACCTTCATGGACTGTTAAAAAAACAAACAAACAAGTTTATCTTGACGGAAGTACAGCCAGTGTTCCTTATACTTTGGGCATGTTGTTGGGAGGGCCCTGTCCTTGAAAAGAGACATCATTCTGAGAAAGATGAGAGGTCAGAGAAAGAGAGGAAGACTCTCAGTAAGATAGAGTCACAGTGATTGTAAAGAGTGGGATCAAGTATATGAGAGATGATAGGATGGCCCAGGATAAGACTAAGTTCAACTCTGTTGTCCATGAAGTTGCTTTGAGTTGCAGTGGACAAGAACAGCAACAACTGTTGTTGGCATCATCTGTCGAATAATATGCTGACTACTACTCGCATGGTCAGAGTTTGAATTCACTAGGCTTTCTTTCTGCAGGAGAAAGATGGGCAGTGTCCTCTGAGAAAGATTTATAGCCTTGTAAACCTGATGGAGGGTTGCCATGATTTGGAATTGACTTAACAGCATTCTTTGTTTTTTATTTAGGAGTTTGTTTTTTGGTTTTATAATTATATTGGCCATCTGTTATATTTATAGTCTGTGCTTCTTCAATTAATTGGGAATTTCAATTAGAATTGCACTCCTCTAGAGAAGATTTGGTTTCTAAAGGCTGCCTGGATTAATTATGAATCCTTGACCACCTTCTATTATATTTGATCCTTTGAGTTTTTTAGACTACACAGGAAGTAAGAATGCAAGACAAAGCATTTATGAGGGAGTAGATACTTTTCTCTTGCTACTTATTGCCAAGAAAATACAAATTGACTTCTTTGTTGGCTTTGTCTGAAAAATGGTTTTCTTCTAATTAATATTTATGTAAAATGTGTAGCTTTTTCTGTTCTATTCAAGCTTTTCATGTTCTATTTATATTCTACTCTGTTCTATTTCTTCTGAGATGCACACCCCACCCCCACCCCCTGGAGTTCCTGGGCAGTGCAAAGGTTTCACATTTTCAGCTTTAACTGAAAGGTTGGAGGTGCAAACAGCATAATACACTGCAAACCTTGCCACCATCAAAATCCAAAGCCCTGGTTCCCGGGGTTTGGCAGTTATTCTCAGAGGAGATTTCCACTGTAATGTGTTTTTAGCCTTTGGAAAACTTTTCTTCTTGCTACTTTAGTGATTCATTAAAACAAAATATTTTTTGTTATTTTGTCTAGCATTTTGAAGCTATTTTTATTAGGAAAGTCATTATTGTGCTCATACAAAATTTAAAAACAAAACCAAAAGCCATTTAAGTAGTGTCTTTCTTTTGTTGTTGTTATGTGCCATCAAGTTGGAACCAACTCATGGCTGACTCTATAGCAAGTTTTCAGAGGCTGTAAGTCATGTAGGAGAAGATTGTCCATCTTTATCTCATGGGTTTGGAATATCTGCCTTTGGATTGTCAATACATCTCCTTCCCATTAGCCCACCAAAGCTCCCTTTCAGGCACACTAAAATCAGTTTTATTTGGTTGTGATTTTTGTCATACATACTTTAAGTTTTGGAAACTCTATGGGACAGTTCTACTGTGACCTTATAAGATCGCTATGAGTTGGAATGAACTTGATGACAAAGAGTTTTTTGTTTGGGTTATACTTTAATAACTGTGAAACTTGAATAAAAGATAGATAATTCAATGAAAATATAATTTTGAAAGTGCTGCTTCAAAAAAAACAAAACGAGAGCGTTGCTTCTCTTCCACCTAATAAAAATAATCACTATGAACTGAATGTGTAACTTAGAATTCTCACTATTTTACACTACACACAAGGAAACTTAGATGTTGAAATAAGAACCATCTTTTATATCTTCAAAGTAATGATTATTGTGGATAATTCAACTGAAAAGAGTAAGTGATCTTTTACATTGCTTTTTAAACTTTGAATTCATACAAATTATAAGGAGCACTGGTGACAGTGGTTATGCTTTTGGCTGGTAATTGAAAGGTTGGTGACTTGAATTTGCCATCATCTCTGAGAGAGAAAGTGTGGTAGTCTATCCGTTAAGATTACAGTCTTGAAAACCCTATGAGGCAGCTCTGCTCTACAGTGAAATCATGAGTCATATCAATTTGATAGTGACCCATTTGGTTTGGTCTCTATAGTTATTTTCCTATTTCTAAACATACTTTCAGAGAATATTTGATTAAAGTACCAGTTGCTTGCTCTGTGGCATTAGGCAAATTATGTCAATTTTCTTTCTTATTTAGCCTTTGTTTCTTCTTATATAAAGTGAGAAATATACCAATAACTACCCAGTGTTGTTGGTAGAATTAAATAGTACATATAAAGACCTTCTCAAGGTGTCCAGTACACACTAATTATGAAATAACTATTAATTAGTGCCTGATTCAGACCTTTGTCTTTTCAATCATGTGCTATGCATCTGAGAGTTGGAAAATGAATAAGGATGACAGAAGAAGAAGTGATACCTTTGAGTTGTGGTGCTGGAGCAGAGTACTGAATATCCCATGGACTGTCAAAAGAATGAACAGATGTATCTTGAAAAGGGTACATACAGCCAGGGAACTCCTTGGAGGCAATGATGATGAAGTTTCATCTCTCATACATTGGACATGTTGCTAGGAGAGAAAATTCCTTGAAAAGGGACATCCTCCTTAGAAAAATCAGCAAAAGATAGGAAGACCTCTAATGAATAGATTGACATGGTGACAGCAGCAATTAGTTCAAGTATATCAGATATATTATGGGGATGGTACAAGATAGGACAGGATTCAGGTCTGTTGTTCATAGGGTCATTATGAGTTGCACTTGACTCAACAGCACCCTAGCAACAATAACAGCTAGGATAGTAAGTTACTTGTTTGATTTCTAATCAAAAGATTACAGTTCAAATCCTTTAACTACTATATGGGAATAAGACAGGAAATCTTCCATTAAGATTCATGGCTTTGAAACTCAATGTAGGGTCTTCATGAGTGGGAATTGACTTTACAATACTAGGTTTTGAGTTTGGGGCTCTTGCTACTGCTGCTGTTGTTGTTATTTTCTAAAACTTCACAATAAATATGATTCTCATTTTATTCTCTTTCCCAGGTATGTGCCCACTAAAGATCTATTGGAAATTTATGAGAGACTCTATGGTCAGAATGTCATCACTAAAAATGTAATTGTTGACTGTACCTATCTTCAGTTCTTGGAAATGTGAGTGTAACCCAGGGGGGATATTTGCTACTACACATGTTATGACATCCTTGGCATAGCTATTCCTGTTACAGACTTCTGAGTGTACATAAATATTTTATTTACTCAAAGGCACTTGTCATAATGTTTGTGGAACTATTTCCTGTATTATATACTTCATTTTTTAGTATAAACTCATTGTGGAAATTATCTTTTATCTTGCAGGTATGGTGAGGTTTTAGCTGTTTCTAAGGTAAAGCAAATACTCTGCTTTTGGTTATCAGTTGATACTGATATCAGGAATATCACAGCATTGACTTCTTTCTCTTTCTTTATGTGATAGCTGTATCCCACTTACTCAAGAAAGTCCCCATTTTTGGTAGAACAATTCCAGGAGTATTTCCTTGGAGGACTGGATGATATGGCATTTTGGTCCACTAATATTTATCGTTTAACAAGCTACATGTTGGAAAATGGAACCAGGTATAGTATTCCTCTATTTTTAAAACTAACACTACGTTCTTTGCTGTCCCCTTCCCCTGATTAACTCCTTAGTTTTTCAACTGACCAAATTTGGGTGGGGTGTAGGGTGATCAATAACCAGAGAAGTACCAATTGAACCTAATCAAGGAAGTAAAGAAAGAAACTTGAGTCATTTGAAAATTCTAACTGGCTGCCATCTGGTTAAATTGGTTGACATTTCCCATATTTGGATGACAGAGACAATGTCTTGGTTTTCTAGTACTGCTATAACAGAAATACCAAGAGTGGACTCTTCAAATTAAACATAGTATATTTTCCTCTCAATTTTGCAGGCTAGAAGTCTAAATGAAGGGTACTGACTGTAGGGAAATGCTCTTTGTGTTTGGTTCTTGGGGAAGATCTCTTTCAGCTTCTCTAGCCCCAGGGTCCTCATGGTTCTTTAGAACATTTTATCTGTCTTCCTTTATTTGAGCCTTTTTCTGTATGAAACCTGATATTCCTCCTTCCTTATATTGGTTTCCTTACAAGTTCATATACATTGTGTTTCACATTATTGTTAATTCACATTGTGTTTCATACAATCATTTACATGCATCATGATTTATAAAATTAATCACCATTGGACCTTGCCTATCATTACCCTGTCTTTTCAGGTCCCAGTCAGATCCTTACCATTTCCTTCACCCTCTCCCTCCACACACCAAATTGTGCAACCCTGTGGTTTTGCTCCTATCCATCCTATCCATCCTCGCCCCTCTTCTCTCACCCCTTCCTTCCCTGGGTCCCCATATATGCTTTTATCTTTCTATTTTTACAATAATGCTTTTGTGAAGTATTTATCCTTATGATAAATCCTTATGAGACTGAGTTAATTCACATAGCATAATTTATGCTCTCCAGTCTATCCCAAGTTATGTAGAATTTTTTAAATTATTGCTTTTCAGTGCTGCATAGTATTCCACTGTGTGAATGTATCACAATTTCTCAATCCATTCAGATGTGATTGACCCTATGGACTGTTTCCATGTTCTTGAAATGGTGACTAGTGTTGTATGAACATTGAAGGACTAATCTGTATTTATCTCCTGGGTGGGTGGGTATTCCTATTAGTAGAATAGCTACATCATGGGAACTTTCTATGTTCACCTTTTTGAGGATATGTCACACTGCCTTCCAGAGTGGTTGTAGCATTTTACAATCCCACCAACAGTGTATGAGAATGCCCACCTCTCCACATACTTTCCAATACTTATTGCTTGCTGCCCTTCTATACTTTGCCACTCCTACTGTGGTGAGATGGTATCTCATTGTGGTTTTGATTTGCACCATTCTTATTACCAATGATTTTGAACATTTCTTCCCATCTGTGTTCTTCCTCAAGGAAAGTCTTTATATGTCTTTTGCCCATTTTGTAATGACAGTCCTACCAAAAGCAATCTACATGTTCAATGCAAACCCCAACACAGATACCCAATTTATTTTTCAAGGAGATTGAAAGGGAAATTGTCAAGTTTATTTGGAAAGGAAAGAGACCCTGAATAAGCAGCCAGATGAAGCTTCACCATTCTTGCCTCCAAGGAGCACTCTAGCTGCACTGTCTCTAAGACATTTGTGTTTGTGCCTTTGGCAGTCCATGCAATACTATGTGCTCTTCTCCATAACCAGAGCTCAAAGGCATCAATTCTTCTTCTGTCATCCAGCTCTCAAATGCATACCAAATAACTGAAAAAGACATGGCCTGAATCAAGCACACCTTAGTCTTTAACTGACATTATTGCTCCTCAATAATTTAGAGAGATCCTTAACTGCAGACTTTACCAGTTTAATAGGTCTCTTGATCTCCTGACTGGTGGTACAAGATTGTTGATTTTGGATTCAAGTAACAGTTTCAATTGTATCTACATCTATCATGACGTTGTCTATTGGTCCAATCATGAGAATTTTTGTTTTCTTGATGAGTTTTATAGAGATGCAACCAATTTTGAAGGCTGTAATGTTTGATCTTCTGAAGTAAGCACTTCAAGTCCATTTCATTTTCAGCAAGCAAAACTATGTCATGTGCATAACGTAGGTTATTGATGAGTCTTCCACCAGTCCTGATGTCACATTCTTCTTTATAGGGTCCAAATTTTTGAACAATTTGTGGAGCATACAGATTTAGTAGGTATAGAGAAAAGATACAACCGTTATACATATCTTTCTTAATTTGAAACCATGGAATGGTCCCTTGCTCTGTTTACACAACAGTCTCTTCGTCTAGGTATAGGTTTCACACGAACACAATTAAATTTTTTTGGGACTCTCATTCTTCTCAATTTTTTTCCATACTTTGTTATGATTCAAACAGTCAAATGCCTTTGCATATCAATAAAACACAAATAGACATTTTTTTAAAAAAAATGCTTTCAGCCTGAATCCTTCTGACACCAGCAATGATATCTCTGGTGCCATGGTCTCTTCTAAATTCAGCTTGAACTTCTTGTAGTTCTCTATGTACTATTTTCACATGATGCTTGTGTGTGATATTAATGCTATTGCTCAATAAACTCCACATTCTGTTAGAGTACTTTTCTTTGAAATGGGAACAAATATGGGTCTCTTCTGGTCAGTTGACTAAACAACTCTCCTCCAAATTTCCTGACAAAGACTGGTGAGAATATCCAGGGCTGCATCTGTTAGTTGAAACATGTCAGTTGATATCCTATTGATTCCTGGGGCCTTTTTTTTTTTTTAAATCCATGCCTTCAGTGCAGTTTACATTTATTCCTTCCTTGCCATTGGCTCTTTATCATATGTTGTTGTTGTTGTTGTTTAACGCCGTCGAGTTGTAGATGACTCATAGTGACCCTATGAACGAACAGCCTGAGCACTGTTAGTACATAGAGTTTCCGGAGGCAAGCCATTTTGTAAGTGGATGCCACTCCTGCTTCACATGTTACCTATTGAAATCTGTCAGTCTATTCTTTTTGGTTCGGTGACTCTGTGTATTCTCTCCATCATTTTTTAGGCTTCTTGGACCTTCAAGACTTTGCCCATAGCATCCATCATTAGTGCAATTTGAGGCTTGAATTTGTTTTCAATCCTTTCAGCTTGAGAAATGCTGAGCGAGTCCTTCCATTGTTATTTTCCAATTCCAGCTCTCTGTACATTCTATTAGAATATTTTGCTTTGTCTACTTGAGATGGCCCTTTGAAATCTTCTGTTCAATTCTTTTACTTAGGCATCTCTTCTCTTTGTTTTGGCTTCTTGGTGTTGTAGTGCAATTTTCAGAGTCTCTTCTGACATCCAATTTGTTTTTTTCTGCCCTCCTTTGTCTTTTTAATGACCTTTTGCTCTCTTCATGGATGATATTCTTGAAGTTATACCACAACTCATCTTGTCTTTGGCCATTGATGTTCAATGCCTCAAACCTATTCTTAAGTTTATTTTTAAATGTATATTGGATAATTACATTTTTAATTTCATGGACTTGGTTTTTACTTTTTTTTCTTCTTTGTTTTGTAAATCTAAAAATATAGGTGTTAAGATTCTAATACCTGTTTTGAGGGACCACAATTCAATCCATAGCAGAGAGAGACAGAGCCAAAATTTGTGGTCTGTAAGAAAGATAAAAAGCATTTTGCTTCTAGAGTTGGTCCTACCACAGCAGGTCTTATGTCTATTTCTCTTGGGAAAAATCCATCCTGTGGGCCTGAGCATCAGCTTTCTAAAGTCCTTCTCATATAGAATAGGGAAGAATGGGTATTTGGAGAGGAAGCATGTGATTCAGGGGAAGTGCACGGTGAAAGACTGAACACTAAGCAGCAGTTCTAACAGCTGGAAAGAGGAAGGGCTGTCTGGGCAGAAGCTGTGCTTGGAACTTCTTCTAGGAAAGGAACATAGAGGGTCTGGGTGTTTATAAGCTGTTGTGGTGACTGTAGACCTTGCTCCAGAATATCATACACTGGATAGTGCTCCTTTGCTTTTTTTAAAAATTAATTAAAATTTTCATTTTATACTGGTTTACTTAAAAACTTTATATAAATTGTTTTTCACACCAGATCTTTCCCATTTCTTTTACCCATCCCTCCCTCCACCCATCAAATTGTGCAACCCTATGATTAACCAATCCCCCCATCCCCACCCCTCTGCTCCCCACTCCCACCCTTGGATCCTCATACATGTTCTATAATTATGATCTTATACAGTATTTGTCCTTATGAGACTGAGTTAATTCACTTAACATAATGAACTCCAGTCACTCATAATTAGGTAGTAATTTACAGAGTAACTTCTACTGTGTGCTGTGTAGTATTACATTGTGTGAATGTACCATAATTTCTCAGTCCATTCTATTGTGATTGGACATTTGGTCTCTTTCCATACTCTTCCAATGGTGAATAAAGCTGCCATGAACATTGGTGTACAAGTCTCTGTTTGTGCTTCAGTTCTCATTTTCTTGAGGTATATTCCAAGCAGTGAAATAGCTGGGTCATATGGAATTTCTATCTTCAACTTTTTGAGGAAACGCCAAACTGCCATTGAGAGTGGTTGTACCATTTTACAATCCTACCAACAATGTATAAGAGGCAGTCCCCAATAAAAATTTTAAATTGGCACTTTGCTGTTTTGAAAAAAATGTAAAGATTGTGGGTTAAGACGGGGAAGGGAATAAACTCACTAGCTTTTTTGTATTTTAAAAGTTATAGTTACACAAAATGGTTCAAATATGTCAGAAACTCTTTTCCTAAATTTAAACTGTGATGATGAGGTTGCTGGGAGTGGAGTGAGGGTGGAATATGAGAATGAATATGCTAGAAATAAATGAAAGTCATAACGACTTTAACCAGAAAAAAAAGCATTTCTATTTTGTCACATCCTTTCACAACATTTATTACTTGTCCTTTGCTTTTGAAGACAGCCACAATTCATATAATGCTAACCACAATTACATATTGAGTTAAATGGAAATGGAATTTCCTTAGATGACATATTTTACTATAGCCTGGTAAATAATACAT